GACTCTTAAAGTTTATGAAGTATGTCTATTTAGCAAGTAATTGCAGTAAGGTGTCATAAAGGACAGGTAATGCTTATATTAGCAAGATTCTCTGCAGCATGAGTAAAGGTGATGTTCCAACTTGTTTTTCATTTTTCATGCCATCATAAAGCATAAATGTGCGAGTATGAAACTGACTTATGTTAGTCTTTTGTAATAAATTTTATTTGTGTAATTCTTCTGCATTCCATGTTTCTTCAAATTCTGCTTTGGAAGGATGGCATTTCCAGTTCTTAAGGACACAATACTGTGTGTTTCTCTATCTGATTTGTACATGCCCAGATTTCAGCAGCACTGTAATTATTTCCTTTTACAGTTAACCGAAAGATCTGCCACAGTGTTGCATGTTGGGAAGGTAGCTTTAGTAGCTGGAAATAGAAGGAAACATTAGAAAGAAGGCAACAGTTTTTTTCATCTTATGATGAAAAGAATGAATTTTATTGAAGTCACTATGATCTTTACATATTGAAAACAAAATAAGAAAAGAAAGTCTTCTCAGTTATGCTAGTGTTTGACCAATTTTGATATTTATTCATAAATTATCACAGGTCCCACAATTAAAAAAATGAGGGAGAGCTATAAAAAAAGATGGTGATACTTGGAAAATTTAGTGTGTAGTAATACTTTTTTTATGTAATTAGAAACTGATACAAGATTCGAAGAGTATATTAAATATCTGCAGATTTGAGTTACCAGGACCTCTGCAGTCAGTATTGGTGCAGTTGAGAGAAACGAGATGTTGTAAATGAAAGAATTTTTGCAGTTTTTCCAAAACCGTGATAACATCTGCTTCAGCTCAGGATGTGAGCGCCTTACAAAACCAGGTTAATCCTTGTGCAAACATTACCTTCACCTGAGCATTTGTGCCCTTAATATATCTTTTCATAGTTCTTGGTGTGTTGTTAGTCTCCTAAAACACCGGGATTTGCTGCCCGAGGGCATTGTGAGATTTCCAACCTTGGAAGTTTGTGTTGTAAATGAAGAGCTGGTTTGTGGGTTGGGAATGGGCTGGCTTTGGTGAGAGAAAAAAAAACCAGCAGCATTAATCCTTATTGGAAAGGGGATCAATTTCCAAATGGGTTTAAATTGAAAGTTTTGTTATCTGTTGTGAAAATACTTCTGTTGTGTCAAGGAACAAAGTAAATACTGTTAATTGAGCAATTAAGGACTGTATATGTTTTTGATGCTCTTGAAGGGTACTGGTTTTGCACTAGATCTGTGAAATTTGGCAGGGATTAAGTTCTTGTTCTTTATTTTGGTAAAGGATAAGCTATCGAGGTTTTTGTTCTAGGGTTGTTTGTTTGTTTTGAAAAAGTGTATAAATACATGTTTCAAGAGGTTTTCCATTGGAGGGGCCAGAATAGAGTTACTCATCTAGCTAGAGACTGTACCTCAGAGTCTTGGTTTGAAGCACTTAGGGTAATTTAAAATAAATGTTAAGCACTGGAATAAATTGTGCCTTAGTGTCCAGCACCCATATGGACTTTGAGTACAGTGCTTAATTTTTATAACATAGTAACATAAATCTTGTTTAATGAAAAGTTGGATTGTGGCTGTGCTCAATTTATATTGACTTGCTGTTATAAGTGAAAATATCATGACTGAACTACAGCCTAATTTCAGGCATGTTTATTGTTCTTGGGGAGGAAACGGGGAAAAGTAAAGCATCCAAAAAACTTAACACCAACCTTTTTTATGTATTTTTGTTGTCAGGGTGGTGTGGGTTTTTTTGAGGTTTTTGCTTGTTTGTTGGGGGGGTGTGCACCTTTCTTTTTTTTAATTTTTATTTATTTAGCTGGGTTTATTTAAGGATGAGAAGAACACTGACACATAGATTAATGTGGTGAATTCAGGTTGTATTTTAAATGGAAATTTCTGTTACTGACTCCCTAAACAGTGTTTTCCCATCCACCAGTGATGTTAATCTTTTGGATGCTCTAAGAAGCTTGCCTGAAAAGCGACAAATGAAAGCATCAGAATATAAAATTCATAATTATAATATTAGATGTTGTTGCTCTTGTTTTTATAAAAGAGACTTAATAATTCTAAGAAGAGGGTATTACATTACACTGAAGTGTAGGTGACAAAGAGTATTAACATACTTGGAGATGGTTCACTCCCACAAAGCTTTTACCATTTAAAAAAAAGTAACATTAACGTGGAGTTTGTAAATAGAGCTCTATATGTGTTCTTCAGCATCAGGTATTGTGCTGTTAGTCAAAGGTTTAAGTTGTCTCTAAGGATTCAGACTACATTAAGGCAGAAGCTGCGCTGTCTTGGTAACTGGGACTTCCAAGTAATGATTTCTGAAGCAGGATACTTATCTACAGTGCAGCAGGGCTGCCTTTGCCTTTTTGAAGTATGACAGTAGGGAACATCAAGGGGGGAATCTTACTCTGAGGAAGAAGCAATGCTGAATGCCTTTTTTTCTTTTTAGCACCAGCTAAAAATTAATTGGTGAAATTTTGATAGCACCTGCGGAGTATAATTCTCTTGGTGAGACATTGTAGTCATGTTTTGCTGATGATTTTTAGTATAGTTTTCAATTTCATATTTGAAATGTACTATGGAAAATAGTGTTGGGATTTAAAGTGCAGCTACAGGAGACAAACTGGAACGTTGCACAGGAAAATCAGAAAATATCTGTGGTAGCAGTGGAGCTACTGACAAGTAATGTTTCATGAATTTTTGTTGAAATAAGTAAAAAATGATGGGAGGTATTCACGTGCCTGCATGTGAATATCTAATATCGTTTTAGGTGCCCAAGAATATCTGGACAATCTGTAATAGGGCTGTAAGATACTGGTGCGGGGAGGTGAACTGTTCTGGACTGGCTGCTGGAAGCCAGGCAAGATGCTGACTTTTCTGCTATTTTTGTATCTGAAATGCCTGTGTGTGGGCACAAAGTCACTTCAGTTACTGTTTCTTTTCAACCTTTCATTTTTGGTATGGTTTAGTCGTTTGGTGGTGGGGTTTTTTTTTTTGTTGTGGGCGGTGGTTGGTGGTTTTTTTGTGTGTGTGTGTTTTGTTTTTTTTGTTTTTAGTTTGTAACCTCTCAATTAGCTCTTCCTCCTACTTAAAAAAATAAAGACAATTATATGATACCACTGTTGTACTGCTCAGCCCCCTTTGCATGATGGTTCTTCAGCTGTATGGTAAACGTGGCAGACCTTTTGTTCTTAGTTTATTTATAGCTTTCTTGTGGGAAAGATTGGCTATTTGTGTAGTGCCTAGTAGAACTGTTGCTGGGCTTTGTGTGTCAAATCTAGATTTTTAAAATTTTTTTAACTGATTTTAGGTTTGGGTTTTAAATGATGCCTGAATGATAGGATTTGACTTGTGTATTTTTACATCGTATGTGGACATTTGGAGTATGGACAGTTCAGATGCCTAACTCCTCTTTGGAATTTGTCCTTTGAACTGCAACCTGAATTTTAAGCCCAAATTTAATAGTGGGAGTCACAGTCCCTCCTTTGCCTTGCTTTTCTTGGGTTCTTCTGCTTGTATACCCAAATGTATGTAGTTTATAGTTTCTTTTGTCACTAGACATTCGTGTGTGCATAAAGTTCTTCTCCATGTACCCAGAGCTGCTGCTGTTGTCTTAACTGAAGTGGGCATGTTGGCTTCTTTGCTGGCATTTTTATATTTCTGTATGTTGGTCATCTGATAGTTGTGGTGCTGTAGGTGAGCTTAGGTTGTGTCCAACATATCCCGACAAGACTGTGTTTGTCTATATATACTTACTTGATAAAGCAGAAAGGATGGTTTGATACTTGTTACTATGTAAGCAATTTAAAGCGGTGCTACATTGTTTGATTTAAATCTCTAAACTAACTTTTCTGCACTAAGGGTAGTGAAGGTCGACTGGTTTCCTCTTGTTCTAACTTCCACCCTCACATAAAAGCAGCCAGTGAGTTTTTCTGCACCCCAAAATGAAGTGGAACATTAGCCAAAAAGAGACATTTGCCTGGGAAAGCCACTGGTCTTTTGTTTTCTGCCTGGTAGAGAATAGCTTAACCAATGGGCTTTAGCTATCCCTAAACTGGAGTTTTTCCTCTGCTGTTACACTGCTGTCACATGAGAAGAAGCCAGAGAGAGAGCAATCGTGTCATCTACTGGTGAGGAGAAAGATGATGGGGTGTGTATGGAGTCTTGTGTTTAGCCCCATGACTTGTTCTGCATACGATGAAACTTAATTTAGGTGCAATGAATAATTCAGCTTCAGCAGCAGTATGCGTACAAATTTGGCACAGTAGTACTACTGGTTCTCTGAACTTACTAGACCACAACTTTTTAGGAAGTCTTAAATGGTTCTTAATGGTGTGCCTTAACCCAGAAAAACCTTTCCTGTCTTAGAAGTTAAAAACATATAATCAGTCAACAGAAGCTGTGTTTGACTAGCAAGTTAACAACGTGCCATCACATGCAGGCATGTCGGGATAAAGATGGTAATAACTGATTTGATAAATGGTGTTTCTCAGAGTTCTGTATGACTGCAATTTAGATATCACTGTGTTTCATAATGCTGAATAGTCTCAATATTCTGCTTATGTACATCAAGGATAAGGGTTATATTGTAACTAACTAGTATATATAAAGTATGTAACATATACAGGTATTCCTATAATGTTATATATGCAGAAAAATTTATGCAAATGAAAGATTACTATGCATTCCACTCAAAATACATAATAGACAATACCTAAAAATTAGAATAATTCCTTTTCTGTAAAATTGACTTTTCATTGAAATGTAGTGTATTTCAAAGCACATGTCTTCACAGTGTTTTATTGAGGAGAATGGTGTGTATTCGTATGCAGCCAATAACTTATTGGCATATACAATTCATGCTTTTTAATGTCAAAGTTAAATTTCATAGCCTTTGCTTACACTTTGCTTTTTTTCCTTTCCTGAAATACAGATAAGCTTTGTTGTAGAAGCATTTTAAATACTGTGTGAAGATGGCAAGTCTGATGAGTCAGAGTCTGTTGACCTACGTAGAAGAAGGAAATGTTCCTGCTCTGAAAGCGCTTCTTGAGAAATGCAGGGATGTAGATGAGAGAAATGAGGTAAGATGATTTTTTGAAAGGTCAGTTTCATATTGCAGCTTACTAGTTACAGAATGAATAATTAGTGAGATCACACTGGTTATTTAACATGCAAATTTCAGTTTTGTTTTCAAGTGATTGCTTGCCTTTGCAGAGGCTGAACACACAGTATTCAGTGTCTGTTAGCACCTCAGCATCTTTTGTTGTATTTGTTTTCTGAGTGCTCTTCTGAGCTGGAAAATGCAGCTCCATCCTTACTTTGTGAATTGAAACTATACCTGTATTTCTGTGGCCAGGAATTGTTTCGCAGTTCACAGATCCAACTGCATGTACATTCTTACCCTGTCTGGTTTGGGGTGAAAGCTGGGATGATAACAACTCTTTGCCTGCATCCTTGTTTCCAGGCAAGATAAACTTTGTTGTACGATCCGAATAGGAGCATATATTGCAATTTATTCTGAGCAGATGCGCATCTGGGTTAAAAGATACGTATCCAAAAAGTAAGTCTAGGTGTAACCAGAAGGATTAAATGACTTGACCAGGATTACACAGGAGGTCTAGATATGCAACAAGGAGTTTAAATGTGAATTATTCGGAATCCTGGCATAGTGTGATAATTGTTAGCATCTGCTTTGTCATCTGATTTAGTCCGATTTGAGCATATCACCACCAGCAATTCAAGCGAATGTGCTGCGGCTTCCTTATACTGCACTAAAGATTCCTGAGAGTTTCTTGTGAGGTTTGATTCATGCAAATGTTGCTAGGGATGTTTTACATTGTTTTGCACAATATTTAAAATTCAGCTTATTTTGATACACTATTAAGTCTTCTGTGTATTTTACAAATAAGTTTAGACGATTTGACTAATTTGTTTTATCTCCTGTAGTAGATATTCCTGTTTGTAAGTGTCTGGGCTTTACTTTCATCTGGATGTACAGTTTGTATCATCTATTTTTATTTTAGTTCTGATTTCCTAAATAGCGTTGTAGAACTGAAACCATGTTGACTTATGTAGTATATTCAGAGAATCTGATTCATAGAAAAATTCAGCATAGAAAGGACCACTGGAAGTCATTGGATTCAGTCTCCTCCTAATTGCAGGACTAACTTCATTGTTACGTCATATTGCTCAGGGACTTAACAAGCAAAATTTGAAAGTCCTCAAAAGGATGGTGAACCTGCAACCTCTCTGGGCAGCGCTCCAGTGTTTAACCACTCTTTGTTTAAAAACATCTTCCTTATGTTTTATTGGAATATCCTTTGCTGCATCTTGTGACTGTTGCTTCTTGTCTTCTTGCATGTCTCTGAGAAGAATCTGCCTTTGTCTTCTAAGATTCCTTTTCTGTCGAGGTAGTATAAGGCTGATGCTGATGCCCCCTTACTCTTCTGTTTTCCAGACTGAACAAATCCAGCTCTCGGTTTCTGCTTGCGTGTCTTATGCTCCAGTCTCATAAATGACTGAGTGACCCCATTGCTGGACTCTGCAGTTTGTCGATCTCTCTGTTTTTGGGAGTCTCTCTGTTGGGAGCCCAAAATGCGTCATTGGGTTCTGGATTCAGCCTCACCAGTGTTGCATAGAGGGCTAGTTGTGCTCTTGTTAATGCAGCCCAGTATTTGATTTGCCTTTGTTGCTGCAGGGGCGCACTGCTGATTCATGGCCCTCGTGTTCATCAGGACCCAATGCCCACTTCAGGCAGGCAGTCCCTAGCCAGTACTGTTGCATGGGGTCAGTCTGTTCCAGTCTCCGTGTTTGCCTTTGTTGAACTGCGGGGGGGTTCTCAGCCCATTTCTTCAGCCTTTTGGAATTTCCTCTGAAGGGCATCCCTGCCCTCTGGCACATCAGCTGTTCTCCGTAGCTTGGGCCAGTCCATAAACTTGCTTTCTGTTTTATGGTTCTGAGTATTGATGAAGATGCTACAACGTTAGCCCCAAATCAAACCCTCCCAACTGGTCACCAGTTACTGTGAACAGTTGACCATTACCCATTGAGTCTGATAGTCCAGGCAGTTTTTTTACTCACCTTGTAGTGTATGAAAGACTGGCTTTTCAATTCGTTTTTATTTTTCTTTTTTTTTAAGCAAGTATTGGAAAATGCAAGTTCTGTTGCGTTATTTTTTTAAACATGCATAAGATGGAAAGAATATTTTTTGAAAGAAGTCAAATGGTATATATTACTCAAAACGAAAAAGCATCATGCAAATGTGAAAACAATGTACAGAATTTAGCCTCACTGTAATTATTAGATCTGGTTCCAATTAAAATAGTTGTCATTTATTGTTGACACGTTCATTTTATGCTGTGTATGCGCATATGCTGTGGTATTTGAGGTGGGAGAATTTTTACATTTCAGAGCATACACATGAACCTCACCACCTGGCATGCTGTGTATTGGTAAAAAGGAATAGTCTGTTCCCTCTGCTGGTAATTCCTCTCAACAACATGGCTGAAATCAGACTGATAGTCTGTCTTTATCAACAGTGTCAGTGCCTTCACCTTCTTTTCTAAATTTTTATTCTTTTCTTGATGGGACTAAGTACACTCCTGGGTTTCAGTGACTGCCTCTTTTGCAGAGATCATTTCCCTGATACCTAATTTTTTCAGCCTTCTCATATATTGCATTGGAGAAGGTAATTTCTGGAGACATGTATGGTTTGCATCAGTTTTAAACCCATGATATGAACACATGATATGACCAGCGGGGCTGTTCATACATATCAATGATAGGAGTTTTGTTTAAGTGCTAGCCCTTCATTGGAATTCAGTGGCATTGAGTGCAATTCTGTTTCCGGTTTTGGACCTGCCAAGACATCTGTTCTTGGGTGAAAACAAAATACCAAAACGGGAGTGCCAGCAGAGTAGGTCTAAAAAGATTGCTGGCAAGTCAAGGTTTGCTAGTGCCAGGACCTCCCAGGCTGCAGTGTCTTGTCCAATGGTAGGATCACCCAGATTGTTAGCAACCCGTTATATCACTGACTGTGATCAGTTGCCAGAAAAACTAGGATGTTCCAGTCAGTTTGTGTATGGATGATTTTGTTGGGTTAACATTAGCAGTTTCAGTTAAGTGGAGCAAGTCTCAGTCTCTCTGCCTTTTCCCTGCACGTCCTTTCCCCTGTGTGCATTCTTTTCTCATAGCAGATACATTGATTACTTAACAGCTAATGATAGATACTTGCCTTGTGTGACACACTTCAATCCTAACAGCCTCCAGTTTCTTTCGATGTGCCTTCCTTTCTGCTCTTGATACTGAAGTAACTTCTGCATCTTCAATTCTGAATCTTCTGTTCTCTCACGGACTGTGAGAGAGAACTAATCTGTGAGGTAACATCACTGAATGATTTCCCTAAAAAGGTACAGGGGTGTCCCTTTATAATTTGGATATTCCAATGTTTAGACTGACGTACAGATGTACGGTACTTGAGGTGCTTGTGAGAAATATGAGCATTTAGTTGTTGTGGAGTGTCTAGACTCTGGGAAAACTTTTGAGAATTAATCTGGATGTCACAGGCATAGTAGTTAGCTTTTGTTTCTGTTTTGGTGAAATCTTCATGATTTGCTAAAACATTGAACCTGTGCTTGAAACTCTCCTAGCAAAAAGGGACGGATGTTTTCAGTACCCCCTTAGAAAAGCTTTAGATACGTCTAAGAAAGAACTCATGAAATATTTTTATTAATCTGTTAACTGTTTTCATAGAATAGTGTGCAATGAGCAGGGACATCTTCAACTAGATCAGGTTGCTCAGAGCCCTGTCCAACCTGACCTGGGATGTTTCCAGGGGTGGGTCATCTACCACCTCTCTGGGCAATCTGGGCTACTGTTTCACCACCCTCACTGTGAAAAATTTCTTCATTCTCTCTAGTCGAAATCTACCCTCTTTTAGTTTAAAACCATTACCTCTTGTCCTATTACAACAGGCCCTGCTAAAAAGTCTGTCCCCATCTTTCTTAGAAGCCCCCTTGAAGTACTGGAAGGCTGCAAGAAGGTCTCCCCAGAGCCTTCTCTTCTCCAGGCTGAACAACCCCAACTCTCTCAGCCTGTCCTCACAGCAGGGGTGTTCCATCCCTCTGATCATTGCTGTGGCCTCCTCTGGATGCTCTCCAACAGGTCCGTATCTTTCCTGTGCTGAGAGCTCCAGAGTTGGACACAGGGCTCCAGGTGGGGTCTCACCAGAGCAGAGTAGAGGGGCAGAAAGGCAGAATCCTCTCCCCCACCCTGCTGGCCGCGCTGCTTTGGATGCAGCCCAGGGCACAGTTGGCCTTCTGGGCTGTGAGTGCACATTGCCAGCTCATGTCCAGTTCTTCATCCACCAGTACCTCCAAGTCCTTCTTGGCAGGGCTGCTCTCAAAGCAGAGATAGACAACATCAGTACCTCTTCCCTTGTCTACTGATGCAGTCGTTCCATCATAGAAGGCCACTAGGTTGGTCAGGCAGGGCTTGCCCTTGCTGAAGCCATGCTGGCTGTCGCAAATCACCTCCCTGTCCTCCACGTGCCTTAACATAGCTTCTAGGAGGATCTGCTTCATGATCTTCACAAGCACAGAGGTGAGGCTGACAGGTCAGTATTCACCAGGGTCCTCCTTTCTACCCTTATTAAAGATGAGTGCAGTGTTACCCTTTTACTAGTCACCTGGGACTTCACCTGACTGCTAGAACTTTTCGGATATCATGGAGAATGTCTTGGCAACTGCATCAGCCAATACCCTCAGGACTCTGGGATGCATCTTTGTCACGTTCCATGGACTTGTGCACGTTCAGGTTCCTCAGGTGGTCTTGAAGATGATCTTCTCTTACAGTGAGAGGGACTTTTCTCCTCTAGTCCCAGTCTTGCAGGCCGTCCACTCGAGAGATGTGGCAAGAGAGATTGCCAGTGAAGACTGAGGCAAAGAAGTCATTGAGCACCTCAGCTTTCTTCTTATTCATTGTTACCAGTTTCCCAGTCTTGCTCATCAAGGGGTGTATACTTTCTTTGACCTTCCTTTTCTGGCTGACATACCTGTAGAAGCAGGTTATTATTCTTTGCATCCCTTCCCAAGTTCAGCTCCAGCTGTGCCTTGGCCCTCCTGACCTCATCCCTATACAAGCGGGCAGCATCCCTGTACTCCGACCAGGATACCTGTCCCTTCTTCCACTGCCTGTGCATTTCCTTATTGCCCTTTAGTTTGACCAGCAGGTCTCTACTCAACCGTGCTGGTCTCCTGCCTTCCTTTCATGATTTCTTACACCTGGGGATCGAGAGCTCTTGTGCTTTGTGGAAAGAGTCTTTAAAGATCTGCCAGGTCTGTTCTGCTTTACTAATGAAGATTAGTGATCTTACTGTATTCTGAGTCTGCATTAATTTTTATTCTTTTCAGGGAAATCGCTGGTGTGTAACTCCTAACATGAAGCTTTTGCCTTAGTTAGAGACTAGATAATTTGAGTTTTTTACATGATACAGAGAAAAGGCAGAAGAGCAGTCAGGAGGAATTCTCTTCCTTTATTAAGGTTGTTGAAATTAACAAATTTACTGTCAAATTTAGCAAGTTTTACTTTTTATCATGCAGAACAGTTGTATCTCAGAAGTTTGCTGATACAGAAATAGGACGATGGAAGGTTGACAGATTGTCACTGACTTTTAAAACATCCTTGAAGGCAAATAAACCAGCTTTTCTATCTTTCGTCTTTCCTGAGATGAGGCGCTCTAAGAACCCATGTTGCACAGGACAGGAATGATATCTGTATTTAGTATACTGTCAGGATGAAAGTGTGGTATATAACTTGACTATTTTTCCTAAGACTTCAGTAAGGCTGTTACTCTGAATCGATGTGCATGTTTTAATGGCTATTGTGGTTCCTAGGCTAGTTTTATGTATTTATTAATTTCTAAACAATGTGACTGAGTTACTTCAAGATGTAAAGATGTAACAGGCTGTATTAGAGGTGTCTTCAGTGGGCAAATAATTCAGAAAGGAAGTTATTTAACAGTGTAATTTTTTTGGTAGCCATTTTTAATGTCTGAAATGTTTTGGGATTTTTTTCTTTGGTTTGGGGTTTTTTATCTCTTATGGGACAGGGTTTAATATTATGTTCTCAAGTTTACTGCATGGTTTGCAAACAAGTCCTTCTCACTTGCTTCTCACTGGCAATTAAAAACTGGAAATAATATTTCTCTGTAGTTTCTGGCCTTTTATTGTTGGTCTATGTGCATCATTTGCTTCACTTTCCAATGCATCACTTTTCCTATCATTCTGATTTCAGAATGGCCAGACTCCACTCATGTTGGCTGCTGAGCAAGGCAATTTAGAAATTGTCCAGGAGCTTCTCAAGAAGGGAGCTAATTGCAACTTGGAAGATGCAGTAAGTATTAGTGCTTTATGTGATGGTACCTAACGGTAGAGGAAGAAGAAATTTCAAGAGGCAGACGAAGAAAAGGAATTTAGTTTAGTGTTGAGGGAAGGAAAAAAAAAAAGGTGGAAAATTATGACATATAAGAGAAATTTAATCCAAAATTGCTTGGCTTTCTATTCCTCTGATTTGATTCCTCATAAAGAATAGGGTTATCTAAGATATTTTAAATGTCTGAGAGTATCTGCTGAGTGCTGCTGCTGTTTGTTTTGGAAAATTAGTACTTGGAAGTGGTAATAACAGGATTGTCAGTAGCTTATCTCAGTGAAGTTGTGGTATGTTGGGATTTTTTAATTCTTTTTTTTTTTTTTTGCTTGCTTTTGGTGTTTTTCAATAAACACTGAGGGAGAATTTAGGTTAAAGGATTATTTCAGGTGAAAGCCAGAACAGTGGCAGAGAAGGGTTTCATATTTATGCGGAAGAGGTTGGCTCTAGGTGAAAGATGCCTAGAAAGTGTGAATAGGACATAGGTGGTGTTAGAAAGTTTTGAAAGGTCTGTATATTCCAATGAAGAGTGATAAACAGTAAAAGGACGTTGCTTGTGGGTTTTTTTTTCTTTGGAACTTCGTTTAATTGTAGCAGTGTAGACATCCAGGAGAGGTCTGTCATTTGCTTTAATGTTACAATTCCTATACTTATAGGAAGAACAGTTACCATATAAATTGTTGCTATATTTATATGTGTATAGCACATAAAACAGTAGTCCACACCTGGACATGGCTTGAGCAGCGGATGGAAGGTAAGTGGAATGCAGGAGGAAATGTGCCTCTGAAGTGATCACAAATCTAAGGAGCTGTATTGGTCCTGGCTGAGATGGAGTTAATTTTCCCCATAGCAGCCCTCATAGTGCTGTGCTTTGTATTGGCAGCCAGAAAGGTGTTGTTGTATAACACACCAGTGTTTTGGCTGTTGCTGGGCAGTGCAGGCACATTATCAAGGCTGTCTCTCCAGCATTCGCCCTATACCAGTAGGCTGGGGGTGGGCAAGATCTTGGGAGGGGACATCGCCAGAACAGCTGACCCAAACTGTCCAAAGGGATATTCCACATCCTATAATGTCAGCTCAGCAATAAAAGCGAAGAGAAAGGATGGTGGGGGGAGGGCATTCATTTTTGTCTTGCGGAGCAACTGCTCTAAGTCCTGCTTCCTGGGAAGTGGCTGGACATCGCCTGCTGTTGGGAAGTAGAGAATAAAAGGTTTTTTTTCCTTTGCTTCTGCATATGGCCTTTGCTTTTGCTTTATTAAATTGCCTTTATTTTGACCCATGAGGGTTTTTTCCATCTATTTTCTCCCCTGCCATCCTGCTGAGGAGGGGAGTGATAGAGTGGCTTGGTGGGCACCTGGCATCCGGGCAAGGTCAACCCACCGCAGAAGCTGTGATCAAAATTCCCCTGCATATTAGCCCTTTGGGTGCTGTTACCCACTGTATGTGGAGACAGACCACCACCATTTTCTGGGGTCTTGGTGACCATCTTGACCCCACCCACCAGTTCTCAATGTCTTGACCTCATGCTCTAATCCTTTGTAGGTGTTGCTTCCTCCATAAATTTTTCTAAGAAGTTAATCTGCAGTGAACTGAGGAGTAGACAGTGATAGGTATTGGGTAGGAGAGGGGATAATTAAAGGGAAGATTGGAGCAGTTGCTGGTCTGTACTTTCAGGAGTATACCTGGCAAATAGTCTAGGAGTTTATTACCTTTTTTTTTCCCCCCGAAGGACAGCTTTTTTTAAGGGGTTGTGGATTTCATATTGTAGGTTAAACACTTGAAAAACAAGGTAATTGTATTGAAATATTGAATATCGCTTAAAAATGTGTTTTCCTTTTTCTAGGATAACTGGACAGCTCTTATTTCAGCAGCTAAAGAAGGACATGCCGCTATTGTAGCAGAGCTACTCAGTTACAATGTCAGTTTGGAGCATCGGGATTTGGTAGGTATTGTCCTAGTGTAAAAATAAAATAGTTTTTAGTAAGAAGAACAATTTTGAGAGTTGGAGATTTTCAATATTGTAAAACAAATCAAAGGTCTTTTATTCTTAAATTATGTATTCAATGTTATTAAAAAGGAAAGGATTACATATTTAAACATTGTTTTTACAGCCGCAAAATAGTTGTGTTAGTGTTAATAAAGGCAACTTGTTTTCTAAGACTACTTTTTTCCTCTAATTTGCTTTGGAAAAAAGCTAAACTGAAGAACAATTTGACTTTTGTGTGTGTTTTGTGTGGGTGGGGTTTTTTGGGGGAATAGGGGGATTGGTTTGTTGAGTGGGGTTTCTTTTGGTGGTGATGGCTTTTTTAAAGTGTTCTGGTAAAATAAATGTTATCTTTTCCCAGAGATGTCTGTCCATATTTACTTTTTCTCTGGACAACTGTGATTATTCATACAGCAGTCCTTGTTCTCAATATTCTGGAACTTGTTTTTATTAAACTTGCCAAATTTTTTGTATAGGAAAGTGGGCGCTATAGTCAAGTCCACCCAAAGAATTACAGAAGTTGCTTACGTGATTAGAAGTTTAGATGCCTCTGAAGAGCTATAGACTTGTCTCCATTGATTGAGGAGGGAATTAGGTACCTGCAAGGACTAGTTTTGTTCTGCTTAAGTTAAAGTATGAAAAACCACTAGGGAAGAGTTCAAGTGCTTCCTTTAATTGAAGTTCCACTCTATCTGAAGGCTGAGGCATCTTGCCATGTCCTACTAATACAGCTTTTTCGTAACTGTAATGTTAAGCACATCCACATTGCCAGTGGTTGATTTCTAGGCGTGTCAGTCAGTGGAATCTTTTACCTCCCAAAAAGTGTATTATAAAGAAACAAATAAAAATTGTTCTTACAGTTGTCAGAGGCATACTGTTGTTCTAAAATTAATTTTCGTTACCTGAACCTGTCAAATGCCTTATGTAGTGAAACCTCATTGTCTCCTAGTTTACAAACCCAAATGAACACACCAATGCAGTTTGAGGTTAATTGGTCTTATTACTTCCTTAAGAGGACACATGTTTTGCTTTTTCATGCAGAAGTTAATGATTACATAGTTACTTTATGAAAGCCAACTGTCTGTTACACAAATCCAAGGTAAACCCTCCCTGTTAATTGATTTGGGTTCTAGACTTTTGGTTTAAGAAAGTGCTTTCTTTTTGGTTTGTTTATCTAGTGATCAGATTTGTATGCACTTGAAGTCTGAATTGAGTGTTTACAGCAAATTCAGGATACTATATTCTCCCAAGTTTTGCATACGGCGGGAAATTAGTGCTTTCATATGTGTGCTTAGTATTTACCCTACATAAGTAGGATTAAAAGGTTGTGTAGTCAATCCTTACTATGTTTTGGGCTTGCGAAACAGTCTTAGGACAAATACAAAATGAAATAAAAGTCACTAATTAGGTTTCTAAAGATACTTTTCAGTTTTTATTTTTCTTTGAATTGTGCTTGCCAGGGGGGATGGACTGCCCTTATGTGGGCATCATATAAAGGCCGTACCGAAGTAGCTAAACTGCTGCTTGAGAAAGGAGCAAATCCAAACATCACAGGAATGGTAAGTTTTAGTCTTAAACACCCCCTTCTCCCAAATGTTTAAAGTCCTGACTTGTAGACTCATCTTATCTTGAGTAAACATTTTGCATTTTTTTGCCATATAACATTAATGACTATCTTTATAAAGGGATTACTTTAATAATCTGTATGACGGCCACTGTTTCTTTGATTAATTTAGATTTTCTTTAATTATAGCAAATGAGTGTATAGCTCTTTGTAAGATTCACATTAGCAGGAGAGGAAATAGTAAAAGATACGTAGTATATCTAATGCTACTTGTATAACAACTGTAATTTTTCTGCATCTATAGATGTTAATGGAGTAACTAATACATGCAATGTAGAAACAATAATTGTTTCATAATAGTTACAAAATGGGCTAGGTTATATAAATATGTACCATACGTGAGACACAATTGAAGAAGAGATTTATTTCATTTTGTAAGCTTTTTCTATAAAAGTAGAGTCATGTTGAAACTTGAATGAACAATTTGTTTAGACTGTCAGCTTTGTGGTCTTTGACGCAACAGTGAACAATCAAAGAAGAACACTAGTAACTTACCTTTCTGATCATCCATTTCATCTGGTTTGCATATGCAGCTTCTGCATGCATGATATGATTGATCTGTAGTCCTGATTACTTAGAAAATTGATTCAAAACAGTAGAAATCTTCCTAGATATCATCTAGACAATGTACTAGGCAATAGGTATTGATATGTAGTTAGATTTATTTTTGTATATTCCTTCTTCTGTGGATTTATTGTTTCTTGGAGCATTGTGATCAATATTGTTCATGAAAGATAATTAAGACTGATTTTATTTCATATGAGGTTTTTTGGTTTGTTTTTTTTTTCTAAGCAATACAGTGTTTATCCAATTATTTGGGCAGCAGGACGGGGCCACTCGGATATAGTACATCTCTTACTGCAATATGGAGCTAAAGTGAACTGCTCTGACAAAGTAAGCTATATTTATATAATACTTAATTTCTTTAATGCTTGATACATTTCTTGCAAAAGTAAGTTGTTTTAAAAAAGTGAAAATCTATGAGTTTTATTGGAAAAACGCCTGCTGTTATATTTTGCCTGTGAGATTGGAATTAGTGTGCTAGAGTAAGTCATTATACATGCAAGAGGTTTTTCCATAATAATCTTCTAAGCTATTACAAACCTTGCTCTTCTAGGTTGCATAGGAAAATAATTCTTATAACTATCATCTACAAAGAAAAACTTAAAATGGCTTTTCAAATGCTTGTGTTAATTCACAAGACCAAATTACATCTTTGGAAAAAAATTAAGCAGTATAGCACAGGATGAATACTAGATTGTGGGGGATACTAAAGACAGGGAGCAACATGATAAAATGTTATAAATGGTTTTTGCAGTATGGAACCACCCCACTGGTTTGGGCAGCAAGGAAAGGTCATTTGGAGTGTGTGAAATACTTGTTGCAGATGGGAGCTGATGTTGATCAAGAAGGAGCTGTAAGTAACTGTTCGTATGTGTCCTTTTTTATTTTATAATACAAATACCAAGAAATACATGAAACAAGATTAAACATTGATGTTAGAGTATGTTACTTTCCAGCTATTTGCAAACTACATGTGAGGATTATTTAAAACTTCTTTGTGCCTTTTAATAAAAATATTATGTAACTAGAGAGTTGTACTGATAGTTGACACACTGTTACATAAAGTGTAAATTTTAATGAACATAAGTGAATTTAGGTTATTGTTCTCTAAAGGTTAACACTATTCTGTGTTAATAGAATTAATTCTGTACCCAAGCCTGATACATCAAACAACTTATTCCTCAGTGCAGTTTGAAAAGTAAATCAAACACAAAGCATCTTTTGAAAATAATGACTGTTGTGCCTTTTCAGAAGTTGGAAATTTTTTAGAAGTTTTCAGCTGCATATTGTTTTTTAAATTAAACAGATTTTATTTCTTATTGTATAAGATACTTCAAATGCTTGTAAAAATCAGTGAATGTTAAGTGGAGAATTAGGACAACTTTTTGGTATTCATATGATTATTTCTGAAGTTCTTCAAAAAAATTCCTTGTGAGCAGTATTGGCAGGCATGGGTGCTCTGAGTATTCTGTGTTCCCATTACACAAGAAAATCATTTTACCGTGTGTGTGGCATTCAAGAGTTAGAATAAACTGATCTCAGCTTTACTGTTTGCATTTGAAGTGTTTTCTACTATAGTACTGAGTGTTTTTCTTTTTTTTTTAAAAAAACATAGCAAAGTGCACTTCAAAACGTAAAACATTTGGATGGTTAAGAAAGTCATGTCAGTGAGTGTTCTTTTGTTATTTAAACTACTGGTATAATGATGATTTTTATATTCACTGTACAATAAAATCTGTTTTTGTTTGAAGAATTCTATGACTGCACTTATTGTAGCAGTGAAGGGTGGCTATACTGACTCAGTAAAAGAAATACTGAAAAGGAACCCAAATGTAAACTTAACAGATAAAGATGGAAATACAGCTTTGATGATAGCATCAAAGGAGGGACATACTGAAATTGTGCAGGATCTTCTTGATGCTGGAACTTACGTGAACATTCCTGATAGAGTGAGTAAATTTTCATCATAATTCTGGTTTATATATATGTAATAATAACAATAATACATATTGAAATACCAATGTATGCAAATTTGTGGGTACATGATTTTTCTGGCTTTCTAATTTTTCTGCCACCTAGGGGTATTTTTATGTATTGCTATTTTACAAGTATGTCATGGCAAATGTTGCTGTGTGAAGGTAAAGCATAGATATAATAAAATTCTTTTTGAGATTCTTGAATTGTGAGTTTCCATAGGGCATGGAAATGATTTATGGTTGTATATTTGTTGTATCTGTAACATAAGACTAATACTAAACAAACTTGCAGGTTTGGGGTGGGGTTTTTGTGTGTTAATACATGTGGTAGTGCTGTTAAAATTGTAAAACAACGGATGTTATAAGAAAGAATATATTTCATTCAGTGTCTACCTTTATCTTTTACAGTTAAACTTTTTACTAGGAAACTTGCATGTATTAGAGGAAGACCAGCTCTGGGTTAAGACATGGAAATGTAACTGTTGAAAGGTGTGGTGCGTACCTGAGCTGCGATTGCATCGTTCAGTCTGGGCAGTGACCAGTGTGTGAATCTGCTTGCTAGCAGCTCAGGGATTTATGTGGTTGCTCATAGAGGTGCTTCGGAGTGTCTGCAGTGTCCTCTTGACAGTCAGGTTTTTCTGAAGTGTCAGAGGCAGGCCAAGCACTGCACCCTTGGGGCTATAGGTGGTTAGATACCTAAAATTAAGTGCCTCTGTCAAGGTCACTGTTTTAGTTCAGAGCAGTAATACCATCTTGGGACTGAATTCCCAATCCCTAATTACATTGCTGGGGTTGCAGAGAAGAGAAGAAAGCCTCCTAATATTTGGCACATAATTTTAAAAGGATTTTTGGATGCATTTTTGTGTATTTCAAATGTCAGCTTAGTATATTTTTTAGATGGCTATGTACTGAGCTGCAGTGTTGCATGTGGCAACAAATTTTATCTCGGGCACATATCAAAGAAAAACCTTAAATATTTAAGAAAATACATTGCAGTCTGCCTTCCCACCTCTTCTGTGACGGATTTCTACAACTTTCTGCATCCCTGTGCTTTTAGGAAGGATAAATTACAGCTTTCAGTACAGCTGACTGTATTCCAAAAATACATCAAAGAATGAATAGTCTTAGTTTCAGATGCTAGAGTAGGTTTTGATAAGGAAAATTTCTTGGTTTGCAGCCAGGTATGTACTGATGGCAACTGATGGGGATCTCTACTACTCCTGAGCTTTCTAGCTGAATTCCACTCCTCAGATTTAATTATACTTTTATTTATTTTTCCTGTTTCATGATAAAAGAAGTATTAGGTAATTTCAAGATTTCATTTTCTGAAATTCTGACATATCCTTAAGTGTTAAAATCAGAAGCCTTAAGCCGAATTATAATTTTGTTTTATGTATCTACAACTCCATTTACCACAGCAAAATAACATTTTTCTTTTGATCAATTTGAGATAAAATCGGCCTTTTGCTTCTTTTCTTTGTAACAGCATAGTGTATGTAAACAGGATAGCAGTCAAATCTGCACAAAAAAAAGGGATAAAATTCTTTAAAATTCTTGAAGATCTTTTGTCAGCTGTGAAACATCTAAAGGAGACAGCCAACATTCTTGTCTGATTGTAAAGAGGTTATTACTGTGAGTAATTACTTGTCTGATTGTAAAGAGGTTATTCCTGTGAGTGGTTGGTCTTCCTATTAATGTAGAGGACAGCTGGATTTTTTTCATATTCTTAATTTGTGCTGTTATTTTTTAGGCTACTGGTTTAAGTTGGACCTATTTTTGAGGTGTTTGTTTTGCCATAAATGTATAATATCGCATGTGTTTGCAAAAAAATAGAAAAAATGGCGTCCAGAATTTTTTCTTCTATATACCCGTTTTTTGCAGAGCTAGAACTATTTTTCTGTATCTTTCTTTAAAATGAGTGCAGATTTCTTAATGTAAACAGGCATAGTGTATATTTTTGAGGCTATAATTCATTCTGTGTTGCATTTCTTTTTGCTAAATAGTATTAATTCATCTTCAATATTCTTTCACAATTTTTCTAGAGTGGTGACACAGTGCTGATTGGGGCTGTTAGAGGAGGTCATGTTGAAATTGTGAGGGCTCTGCTCCATAAATATGCTGATATAGATATCAGAGGTCAGGTAAGTATAACAATGTAAATGTTAGAGTAGTTCTTAAATAGGAGGTGAATTTGAATATGAAAAATTATACCATGTTTCTGAAAACTGGGCTTTAAAAACTTGTTCAGTCTACTCTGTAGGAAACTCAGATTCTCATTAAACATTAAAAATACATCATGTTGCTCTGCGGCTTTTAAGATATAAGACGTATGTAATTGTAATGACTTGCTAAGCATCATTTTTTTTCAATTAATTGTATAACAATTGAAAAACAAAAGAGGTAAATTGAACTTATTTCATCCGCACTACTGGACAGGTTTAAAATAACTGAATACTTCAAAAAACCTTTAATATTCCTATTTTAATACTTAATATTTTAAATTAAATATCAATATATTAAAATACAATACACTTTAAATTTTATCTGTTGTCAGTGCAGTCCTATCACTATGCCTGGTTCGTTCTTGTCTCTAACTTCCTTTCTTAAGCAGTTAAGCAGTGTTGTTGGCGATTTCCATGTTTTCTACCTACCCCATCTGTCTTTCTTGTCCTTTGATTAAGGTATTGTTTTTCTTCTTCTACCAAAAGCTCTCTTACTCAGCGTGGCACTTGTTTTTATTGTTACATTCAACTTGCTTTCTTTTGCTTGAAGCTATTCAAATCACTTCACTTGCAGGCACATATGTTCTGCCAGGTTTGAACACAAAACTAACTAGGCACTGAGAGCTGCAAAGATTCAGTGCGTGCTATTGATGTAGAGCCTCTTTGAGAAGCCAAGAAGCTTTCAGTTTGGAGAAAGAGTAGTGTTTGGATCTCTTCCCCTAACCTGCCATTGGAAATCTGGAATCGTGTGTCTCGGCTTCTTGCTGACATGGATCTGAAAATCTGGAGCTTTTCAACATCATGATATGACCAAGGCAATACAGAAACAGTGAGAGGATCCAGCCTCTTCAGGGGCGGGGAAGCTTGTGACTTCTGGCAGTGATTAATCTAGGGAATACTTTTGTGGCCTTGTTGACACAGCAGGAGTGAGTGCCATCAAAGGAATATTGTGGCTGTGTGCTTCAGATCTTCAGATTAGGACCAGCAGTATCAAAATGAGTGATGAGCATTCCTGTTTAGCAGCTCCCCTGCTGTTCGGCACCACAGCACCTGTCTGCCAGCCAGAACTGTTCTGGGGAGACTTGCTGCCTGCCGAAATCTGTGATGTTCCAGAAAGATTGCTGGGTCTTGTCCAGCCTTCCAGCAACTGTGTTCCTTGCTGCTCATTCTTTCATATGGACACTAGTCAGAGGAGACCTTGAGCAGATAAAATGTGACTATAGGGCTCTAGGAGCAAGTGTTGGGGTAGTGGAGGGCTCAGGTGGTGTTCTTCTCAGCCTTTCTGGTAAGGGGGAAAGGCCCAGCTGTGTGCATCTGGCAGAGCAGTGCCTGGCTGTGCCGGTGATACTGCTGGTGAGGAGTCAGCTTCCTCAGGCTGGTATCTTGTTGAAAGCCACCTGACTGAAGGACAGGGGATGTGAAACCCGGGTGACCAGAAAGGAAGAAAATCTTAGGGACCAGGCTTGTTAAACTGGTGAGAAAGGCTTTAAACTCAGTTTTCTGTGAAGACCACGAGTGGGAGAGGAGGAGCTGCAAATGAAAGAAGCAAGCAAGGGAGAAGTCTGCAAGGGAGACTTTGACATTTCTGCTTAGAAGGAGATGTGTGTTCAGAGGCTTTTCTTAAAAGTATCTACACAAGTGTGCATCAAACAGAGTCATGCTGCAGTTACTAGGCTACAAAAAGATTGCAGGCATGGTGACTTCCTGAGATAGCACAGATCACTGGAGAAAAAAAAGATGACACAAGCAGATTTGCAACTTTCAACCATTCACCCCGTTTCAGTGATACAATATATGGCTGATGTGCATTCTGGTACTTTGTGTTGACTTTCATGTCCATCTACTTCTATAGCTTTCCAGCTTACATGGCCTGTTTTTAGGGCAGCCAACCAGTTCCCCAGTACAACATTTTTATTAGGCTGTGCTGTAAAGTTGAGAAGAAAATGGAACTTTTTTTCAAAGGCCTGGAAGTGGTTAGTACCTCCAGGTTCTAACAGGAGAGAATTAAAAATTTTTTTTTAAAGCAGCGGAGAAACATGACTATTACATAATAGGTGTTACGAAATCAACAGTGTGTTGTTTAATACATACATACTTGAGTTAGAACTGAGCACCCCTATACAGTTTTGGAAGCTGTTTCAAGACGGGTTGAATCTGCTTGGGTTGCTGCAGCTGTTAAAATATTTTGCACAGGTTTTTAAAACAGATGTGTATTCTATAGCCAGATTTCCACCCCTTCTAAGTTCTATTCTTCTAATTTCTAGTGTACAAATTAAATTTGGTAGCATTTCCCTTTGCCCTGAATGGTGCTAAAATTTGCTGTGTTATGTACTGTGTTCAATGTAGCGGCTGTATTTTATGTACAGTATTTTAAATTAATCCAATTGAATGAAAGTACTGTTAACATTTAATACTCTCTTTTTTCCAGGATAATAAAACTGCTTTGTATTGGGCAGTTGAGAAAGGAAATGCTACAATGGTGAGAGATATCTTGCAATGCAACCCTGATACTGAAACATGTACAAAGGTAATTATTATAATTTTAGTTGACATAATTTGCTTTGTTTAACATCTGTATGTGATGTTAAGATCAAAATACCAAATTCAGCTTTTCTGAAATGTGGATACTGTAAAAACAAACAAAAATATAAAGGGGAAAAAAAAAAAACTCACAACAACAACAACCAAAACAAAATCGCCACCACAACAAAACAACAAATGCTGCCAAAAAACCCCACTAAAAAAACCTCTCAGACTTTTTTTTTTCCTGAAACACAAAATTTATTTTCAGAAATAGTAATGTCCCTTTTGTTGGTAAGCGTCACCTACTACTAAAATTTAGTAGTAGGTTGGTAAGCATCACCTACTACTAAAATTTAGTAGTAGGGAACGCGTGAGTATTCTACCTCAGCAACATTGACATGACCAGTAATAAGGAGTAGAGAGTGGGTTCTACGGGAAAGTGAGGGAAGAGGCTTCTGATATTGCTAAGCTTGAAATTTTAGACATCCATTTATTGCATGTGCAGGAATAAAAAAAAAAAAAAAATAGAGCAAGTAGTATGTACAGCAGTGAATTACCTCTTCCCTGGGTCTCTTCTCAAAATACCTTGCATTATATCTGAACCTTCTCTTTCTCTGTTTGGCACTGTTATTAACGGAAATATATTTTGCACTTGTATTTTGTTCTGTGATTCTAATCAATCTAGAATAAAGGGTCTGTGATACTTTTTCAAGAACCTGTGCAATGACGTATTGTTACTTGAACAGAAATGAAAATTTGCTTATTATGCCTACTTTTCTCTTTTAGGATGGAGAAACACCACTTATAAAGGCAACCAAGATGAGAAATATTGAAATAGTAGAGCTTCTTTTGGACAAAGGAGCTAAGGTCTCTGCTGTAGACAAGGTAAAGAGTATTCTTTGTCTTCTGTAGTATATTTAATCATTTTACAGAATCACAGAAACAATAACGTTGGAAAAGACCTTTAAGATCATCAAGTCCAACCGTCAACCCAACACCACCATGCCACTAAACTGTGTCCCGAAGTGCAACATCTACACATTTTTTGAACACCTCCAGTGACAGTGACTCCACCACCTCCCTGCGCAGCCTGTTCCAATGTTTGACCGCTCTCTCAGTAAAGAAATTTTTCCTAATATCCAGTCTAAACCTCTCCTGGCACAACTTGAGGCCATTTGCTCTTGTTCTATTGCTAGTTACTTGGGAGAAGAGACCAACACCCACGTCGCCACAACCTTTCAGTAGTTGTAGCGAGTGATGAGGTCTCCCCTCAGCCTCCTCTTCTCCAGACTGAACAACCCCAGTTCCCTCAGCCACTCCTCATGAACCTTGTTATCCAGATCCCTCACCAGCTTCGTTGCCCTTCTGGAGCATGTCCAAAGCACTTCAGTGTCCTTGTAGTGAGGGGCCCAAAACTGAACACAGTGTTTGAGGTGCGGCCTCACCAGTGCCGAGTACAGGGCACAATCACTTCCCTACTCCTGCTGGCCACACTATTTCTGATACAGGCCAGGATGCTGTTGGCCTTCTTAGCCACCTGGGCACACTGCCGGCTCATGTTCAGCCGGCTGT